AGGGGTGGCAGGAGTGGTTGATGAGAGCCCGGGGGTCTGCACAGCAAAGGGAAAGGGGCGAGAGGCCTTTGTGCCCAGAGTGGGTGGGGAGGGGTGCGGCTGCCTGGAGGCAGAAAGGATCCCCGTTTGTGGTGCTTGGTGGTGAGAGTGATGCCCCCTTCTCAGATAGGGAATGGGGCGGCGGTCCGCAGTGTTCAGGGGTGGCTCTTCACCACTGTGCTTGTGGGCCTGACTGCATGGTGCCGTGGGCTGGGCAGTGTTTTATTCCTGGCTGAGGCTTTCCTTTGTCTAATGTTCGTATTCAGTGCTCCTACCATGGGAGCACGTCACCCCCAGCACAGAGGTAGACCTCTGGTTCAAGGGCAGCACGGGGAGTGATACTGAGTACCCAGAGGTGGTCTTGGTGTCGGTGCAGCCTGTTAGCCTCTCTGAGGCCTCACTCCCCAGCATGTGACTGGTCAGCATGGGGGACCTGTTGTCCAAGTGGACAAGGCAGTGCTTGGAGTCAGGTGGTTTCCGCTTCCTCCTCGCCGTGTGCCCCGCCTGTGGCCATCACGCCCGCTCTCGGGGCTGTCAGGGAGGCGAGGTGTGGAAGTCCTTTGTGCAGGCAGAGCAGCATTCAGCCCATTTCTTGAGTGCCCATGACACCGTGGGCCTGGAGGCTGTGCTGGTGTTGGGGACAGGCCCTGTGTGCTGTGTCCCAGGCCACTCTGTGCAGTGGGGCCCTCCCTATCTGACTCCTGACCACACAGTGGAGAGGGGCAAAGCCAGAGCTTTGCCCCACGTTTGTCTGACCCCAAAACCTGTGCTGTCCTTACTGGCCCACAGGGTGCCTCGCTCAGTGGTCTGTGGCCTCCTTAGAGAACGGATGCTGTCATTGGAACCTTAAGATTCCTGGGAGAGAGGCACCAGTGCGGCCTGGGCAAGATCTGGACTGTGCGGAATGATTTCAAGGCTTAGGTTATAGGGAGAGGCATGTGTTCAGACATGTCCCACCTTCAAGTCTCCATCTGGAGTCCCAGCCCCCAAAGCCTTATTGTCTTAGCTCTGCTCCACCAGCTGCCACCGGTCACACCTGCCTCCCTTCCTCAACCCTTCCCCCCACCCCACCCTGACCCCTGCCCCGCCTCGGCCTCCCACGCTGACAGCCAGAGTGCTAATCAGAGCGGCACTTCACAGTGCACACTGTCACACACTCACCTGTCTGGCTTTCGTCACTGCCAGCACGGGCAGTGTTCCCATGGTGTGGATGAGGAGAGTAGGGGCTGGTGAGGTGAGCCGACTGCCTTACCATTGCACTCGAGGCCTTCAGACTTGGGTGACGTGAACCCCCTCAAAACCACACAGACCGTTAGATCTTACTACGCAAAGAGCATGCTCACGGCAGTGAACGGCCCTCAGACAGGGGACCAGGACTCATCCCAATCGCTGGAGAGTTCACAGCACACTCGGGATACATTTATTGTGTATTTGTCGAGCAGCTGTTCACAGACTGGATGTTTCTAAAAGTCTGAGCCGTTTTGTATGCAGTGCAAACAAGGTTGCCATGGACCAGGGCCGGCAGGGCTCTGCTTGGGTGGAAGGCACCTGTTTTCGTCAACAGTCCTACCCATGCCCCGCCCGGCCCTGCTTCAGAGGAAGCCTTGTATTTGGAGAGCTCCGCTCTCCCCATCCTACCCGATTCAGAGCCGTTTTGCAAGCAAATGGGTGGAATTTCTTCTAGTTGACATTTACCTGCCAGTCTGTCTCCTCCTATTGTTCCTGTCCCAGAGGAGAGGCCTCTACAGTCCCAACGGTGGTACTGGTGTGGAAGCGATGGGTTTCACCACGGCCCAGTTTCTCCTGAATCGGGTGTCCACTGGGTGTTCCGTGAGGTTTGCCCTCAAAACACATGGGCCCTTGTCCAGGGATCTGAAGCCACAGGAGAAAGGGACCGAGGGCGAGGGATGAGTTGTGAAGCGACTGCTCTGCCCACTGACAAGCTGCAAAGTGAGAGCCAGGGTCTCTGCTGCAGGTCTGAGGGGCGCTGTGGGCCGCACCGCTTGTCCTGTCCAGGACACCCCTCTCCACGCACACCTGTTAGGCTCACACAGACTCGCAGCTGAGGGCAGCTCTGCCTCCACGGGCCCGGCGCTCCCCGACTACGGGTGCCTGCTGTGTGCCCACCAGCAGCTGGGCTGCGGCAGGAGCGGGCACTCGGGGGCATGTGATGGGAGCGTGCCGCCTCAAGGGAGTCCAAAAGAGGGAGCCAACCTGCGCCCTCGGGGAGCTGCTGGTGTCGTGGGACGGCTGGTCAGCAGGAGCAGGAAGGGCTGGTGAGAAAGGGCGGCAAAGGGGCCGGGGTGGGGGAGCCGAGGAGCAGACGCGGCCTCACAGGCTTCTCCCTGCTGGGGACAGGGCTGATGCAGGCAAGGAGCGTCGTGCCTCCCAGAACGGCCCCCAGAGGTGGGAACAAGGAGAGGAAGATAGTTTGGGTGGGGGCAAAAAGCGCAGAGCTCTGGCCGCGGCGTTCCTGCGGAGAATGCCAGGGCGCTGGAGCCAGGCGACAAGCGCAGTCACACAGACCACTTGCCTGAGACGAAATGCCGTCCTCCGAGAAAAAGGCCATTTTAAAAGGCCCACAATTAGACACATCTGTGTCAGAAAGTTTTTAAGTATAAGAATGGAGAAATATTCTACAAGCATTGAGGGGAATCAGGTGATTGCCCTGCTGTCCCCCGGTTCTCGGCTGCCTCAGATGACGAGCAGCAGACAGAACCCAGCGAAGGGGATGCCAGGGTCCCGAGAGGGCAGGGCTGAATCCAGGGAGCCCACCTGTCTTCCATGGGCGCGAAGAAGAGAGGCTAGTGCTGAGAAAAGACACCACATTTCTTAAGAAATCTCTAAGACGTCATCCATGCCACGGAGACGTGAACCAGAACTGTGATCTCAAGGACGGGAATGACACAGTATTGAAGGGCCAGCCTCGTCTCTAGGGTGGCAGCCTCAGAACCTGGTGGAGTTGCACGTCGTCGGGGCCTCCTCAGCTATCCCCACTGTGCCCCTCCCTCCCGGGAATGGGACGACTGCTTCTCCCGGCACGTCCTTCACCTCCTGAGCCTCAAAGCTCAGTGCTGGCATGGCATGGGAGCCGTGGACGGCTGCTGCCCCTCATCCCTGCTGCTGCTTCAGTTTAGAAGCCCATTTTTTTTCAAGCCCCAGGTATAAGTCTTATTGGTCTTGGCTAAACACAGTCAATTCACTCCCCTCCTTAGTGATTGTTTTCGGGGTGGGCATGTGACCCATTTCTGGCCAATGGGAAAAGAAGAGAGCTGACATGCATGAGACGGCAGCCCTGAGGATGACGGCCAACATGGGGACGCCACAGGAAAGAAGGGGACCCGGGCCCAGCATGACGTCCTTGGTACCAGAAGTGCCACCTCCAGACCTGTAAGGTGGGACAGTTAGATACTGGGCACCTCATCTCCTAAGTGTTCCGTTGCTTGCTGTTCTTGACTGATGAACTCAATGCGTCTGAGTTATCTTAAAACAATAATGGTGCTCCTCCGTTCCAGCGCCTATGCATGCAAAATTTTAAAACATGGAGACACGGGCCAGGAGAATTACCAACCTACGAGTATGCCCCCATGTGACAGGACCAGAGCCACATAAAGCATGACAGTGATCCTTTCACTGCTCAGAACCATAGCAGAGGTTTTCTGCATGTGTACAGCCCCTGCTAAATGCCCTGGGCGGTGGCCCTGTGTGATGGAAAGGCCACGTCAGGTGCTGCGGGTCCGTCTACGCCTTGAGGCTTCTCTGTGGACCCGGCCTGAAAACCAAATTGGAAAACCAATCTGTGAAAACAATGTGACCAAAACCACATAAATAAATATATCCCGGCTCCCCCACTTCTAACAGTGTGACCTTGAACAAGTTACTTAACTTCTCTGTAGCTCAGTTTTTTAATTTGTAAAAGGGGATGATAAATATAGCACGTATTGCACAGAGCTGTTAGGAGGAGTCGGTGAGGAAGGTGGTGCCTGGCACAGTGAGCACTGTGGTGTGTGAGTGTGTGTGAGGGTGTGCACGTGTGAGAGCCAAAAAGGGGAACAGAGAGGAGAGGGGGCGGGGGTGGTGGGAGAGGAGTCAGGAAGGGCACAAACGGTCAGAGAATAAACCCACGACGCTGGTGACCAACTCTAGCATGATCTTTATTTCACTTTTTTGTTTTTGTTTGGTATTTTTAAAAAGAAAACATATTTTTTTTTTGAGGAAGATTAGCCCTAACTGCTGCCAGTCCTCCTCTTTTTGCTGAGGAAGATTGGCCCTGAGCTAACATTCATGCCCATCTTCCTCTACTTTCTATGTGGGACGCCTACCACAGCATGGCTTGCCAAGCGGTACCATGTCCACACCCAGGATCTGAACCGGCGAACCCGGGGCCGCTGAGAAGCAGAATGTGTGCACTTAACCACGGCGCCACCAGGCCGGCCCTATCATTTTTTGTAGGTTCTAAACCTACTTTGATAAACAAAGAAAGAAAAAATAGAAAAGTACCCCAAAATACTGCAGGGGTGATCTCTAGGAAGTAAGATTCTGAAAAATTTTATTTCTGTTTTAGACATTTCTATAGTTTTCCTCATCATGCACGTCTTAGTTTTGGAATCAGAAGAATGCCTTCCTATGAGAAATGGCTGCAGAATGTGTGGTCGCTGGGTCACAGTCGGCAGACACCTCAGGTTGGGGGAGCCCTGGGAGGTGGCGCGCCCAGGTCGGGGTCCTCTGGCTGGCCCCCTCGGCTGTCTCCCCTTTCGGAGAGAGCCTGGCGGAGCCCCCAGCCCCTTCCCCTCAGCACCTGCTGCTGATTGAAACCCTGCGGCGCCCACGTCTCTGAGGGTAACTGGACACTGGTGGCCAGCAGGAGCCTAGCCGAGGTCTGACGTGTGTGTTGAGCGAGGGAGCCAGTTCCCTGCCAACCCTCTGGCCGAGCCCCAGGCCCACCTGCCCTCTGCCCGCAGGCCCCGCAGGCTGGAGCCCGCGTGCTCAGGGCTGCAGGCGCAGATTCTCCGCTGCTACCGTGACCACCTGCAGGAGGTGCTGCTGTGCTCCGACCTGGTCAAGGCCTACCAGCGCTGCGTGAGTGCGGCCCGCAAGGTAAGGCCTGGCCCTGCCCTCCTGGCCCCTGTGGACGCGTCGGGGCAGGGCACCCGCGTGCTGACCTCTGCGCTTCTGTCTGCTGAGTCAGACTTTCGGAGCTCCAGGCCTCTGCCCTGGCATGGGGAGGGACTCTTAGGCCTCAGATGTCCTCAGTCCTTTCCTGGCTCAGACGTTCTGCCGGGCTGTTCCCACGAGTGCTCTCGGATGCCTGGGCTAGGAAAAGGGGGCCCTGTGGGCGCTGGGCCCCACTAGGCTGAGTCTGAAAGTGGCACTGGGTAAAGTCAGGCCCCACCTTCAAGGGGCCGCCCACCTAGTTAAGGGCATGTATGGGCCACCCGCTTCTTACCTTTGGGCAGTTGGGGGTAGGAGCATGGAGAAGGCCCCCGGTGCAGGGTGGGGGTCATAGAAGGGCAGAGACAGCCCTGTGGAAGAGGGAAGAGCCTCGGATTCGGGAAAGTGACAGGAGTTGGGGTGCAGCCAGCCTGAGCTGGGGAGGGGATGCAGGTCCTTCTCTGTCCCCTACTCCTGTGCTGGTCCAAAGCACCATGCCAGGGCCCAGCTCTGGGGAGGGGGTGGCATAGCGGTCCCAGGTCTCCTGCACTCCCCAGCCCCGCTTCAGGGGGGCTGTGGGCTGTCGGAGATGTCTGGGGCTGGCAGCGCCCCTACCCTGAGGTGTGGCCTAAGGCCTTGCCCTCATTCTCCCACGCTCCAGCTGGCTCCCACTGCTCTCCTCCTGCCTCCCCTAGTTCCTGTTCCTCTTCTAGACAGTTCCGTCTCCCTTCCCGGGCCCAGCAGTACAGTGCTCCAGGCTGGACCTGGTTCCTCCCCACCCTGACATGGCACCCCCACCTGGGGGCCTGGCCTTCACTCCAGGGGCACTTGGCTTGGAGCTCGCCAGAGGGCTGGCGTGTTTGTTAAAAGAACCTGGCATGGGGCCTTCTTCCCATGGAAAAGCCTCTTTTGCCGGAATAAGAGACAAGTGGCTGTAGGTGCTGGTTGTGGAAAGGCTGAGGTCAGAGGTCATTGGTGGTCGGGCCTGGTGTGGCAGTCTCCTGCTCAACAGCCCAGCCTCTCCAGAGCCCTCCTCACGTTTCTGTCGGCTCAGACCACAGCTCTGCCCTGCTCACACCCGCCCTGGGCTGGGCACAGCCCACACCAGCACCTGCTGCCCAGCATCAGCTCTGGCCTCTGGGATGCAGCAGCGAGGGACATCGCAGAGCCCCGTGGAGAGCTGTTTGCTCGATTTCAGACTGCGCAGGAAAGACAGCAGTTCCTGCAGTATCGTCAACAGACGGAGCGGGAGCTGGGCCAGCCGCACTGGGCCACGCCGTGTGGGCTGTGGGACGGGCAGCTCTCCCCATGCCGCTTTGCGTCCACCGAGGCCTTTGTGAAGGCCGCACAAAAGTCCCTTCTCCCGCCGGGACCCAAGGCTGTTCCGAGCCTCTGCCCACCACGCACCTGACTCCCCGAGGGAAAGACCTAGGGCTGTGCTGTGGCCCCCTTGGCTGCCCCGCAGAGCGCTCGTCCAGCCCCAGCCCTGACTCTGTCCTCCCTCGCTCCATCCAGGCCCCGCGCCGTGACAGTTTTCAGCCCCTCCCCCAGCAGAGTATTTCTTTAACAAACACATCTCACCAATGTATCTTCATTGCAGCGAGGCAAAATGTGATTACGGAGGAGACAGATTGCATTTAACTCCAGTGTGTTCTCTGTGGCTCCAGCCTGCTTGAGAGGGGCTCTGGGGCACTGCCAGGCCTGGCTCTCTCCTCCTGGCCCCGCCCCCCTGGCGTTCTTAAAGCCTAAATTGGAGACTGAGCAACTGGCAGCAGCAGAGACCGGCCTGCTCCCCGGCTGCGTCTGCAGCGTTCCTTCGGGAAAGCATGCTCGGCCGACTCTCAGGCCTCGTAGCGCAGACGCTCAGCTTGCCACTGTGCCTGAGATGCTGCAAGTGCGAGAGAAACTCCCACTGCCCTCAGCCAGCCTCCTCCAGAGGATGGCAGGTTAAAGGATCTCTAATGGGGATTTGCTTCTGGCAGCAGCCAGGTGGCAGGAACCCTCGTCTCTGGCAGCCAAGAGTAGGTATAGGACAGAGGCCCACCTGGTCTGGAGCTGGGGCAGGGAGCACCTCCCCAGAGCTCCTGGGGCACGCTCCAGCACCTGGGGGGCCTTCCATGCCCAGGGACGTGTGCGTGTGTGCGGATGTGGACAGCACCTCGGAAGCAGGTTTCATTGAGTAACCGCCTGATTGTGAGGGCTCTCGTGTTCCAGAGCACACTCTCCGAGTGGTTTCACTTAGAAAATCCAAGTGGTTAAGTACGAGAACAGAGGGGAGACCTCAATGGGGCAAAGGAGAGTTGGGCTGGGAGCTGTCTCTACACAGGGTGGCATGGGGAGGCCCCTGTTAGCTGGTCGCTGCAGGCATGTGCTGAGTGGGCACTGGGCACAGAGGTGAAGAGGCCCAGCCCCAGGCCTCGGGGACCAGCTGGGGAGGACAGTTTCCACTAACGGCTCACACTCACGGGGCATCGAGAGCCTGAGGCCCTGTTGGAGCTGAGGCCTGGGGGATGCACAGGGCCTCTGGCAGAATAGGGCTGGAACTGAACTCTGCCTTGTTCTCCTTTGTAGGGTTGAGGAGCAGCCATCACTCTTGGCCCTGGCAGTGACTTGGAGCCCTGAAGAAGGGACCAGTTATGGGGCCACAGGCCACAGACACCGTGCCCAGCCATTTCCCGCTGGGTGTCTACAGATGCTTCTGTGCCATATGCTTAAGAAATCGAGTGTGTGCGAGTGTCCAAAAACAAATAAAGCACATGTCTTTGTTTCAGTCATTCTCTCTGCTGGCAGACAGTCACTGCTGCCTCCTCTGTGTCCAGCCCTGTGCCGGACCCTGGCAGTGCAGGCTGAGTGAGACAAGCTGCCCCCTCAGGGAGGACCTGGCCTAGCAGGGGAGACGGGCATGGAAACCCAAAATTAGGCCTCAGCACCAACAGGCCACCCAGAAGCAGGTATGAGATGAAATGAGGGGAAAGCGGTTGTTTCCAGGGATGGAGCAGGGAGAACAGGCCAGCTTCCTGACGGAGGCTCTGTCTGAGCTCCAGCACGAAAGCTGAAGGATGGCTGGAGGGCAGGCCAGAAGCTGAGGAGATGTGGGGCTTGTGGGGAGCACAGGCCCAGCCCAGCTGGGCATTTGCAGAGAGCAAAATGGGGGCCAGGCAGGGCAGGGGGTAGAGGCCAGGCCGAGGCGTGGGGTGTCTCTAGCAGGGAGCAGCACTGTCCAGTCCCTGGTTCTTGGGGAGGAAGGGCTTGAGGGGCACAGGACACCTGAGGGCGGATGACCATGGAGGCTGGTGACAGGCCAGGGGACAGAGCAGGGCAAGGCTTAGGAGCTAAAACTGGCAGGACTCTGGATTTGAGTGGGCGAGGGGAGGATCAAGGATGATTTCCAAATTTTTGGCTTGGGTGCTAGTGTTTCTACAGACTGAAATGAAGGACACAGGGCGTTGAGAAAGGCAGATGACACCTGGGTTGGGATGAGCTCTGCTCAGTTGGTGTGTAAACACTGGCCTGCCAGGCCTTGACCTTTGGCGGGACCCCCGTTAGGGTGCCTCGACCACACCTGGGCTGCACTCTGGCCTGCCTGGTGCAGTGGGAGGCAGCAGGAGGAGTTTGGGGTGGGCTTCTGATCTGCCAGATACTCCCCTGATGACCTTGGATGTCCTGCTAAGGTTCTTTTGGAGAGTCCCAAGCCGTCTGCAGCTAAGAGCCTGCAGTCTGGACTCAGGCTTTGCAGCTCAACCATCTCTGCACATCCCCAAATTCTCACGTGCAGAGCTCAAATGGGGATTGAGGCTTGGCAGTGTCCAGTTGTCTGGGCAGGTAGCACGAGGTGGTTCTATTCGGCCACACTGCATACTGGCTGAGAAGAAAAGAGCTTTGAGAGATGCCCTCTCTAGAAGGTGTGGGTCAGCTTATCACAGCCACAAGGACACAGTCAGAAAACACACGGGGGTGAGTGGCCAGGGTAGGAGTCAGGGCACCTTGGCCTGAGCCTCCTTGAACCTTGCCTGGCAGCCCAGGGAGGGGCTGGCCATCTTTGAAGTCAACCCTGGGATCATAGGTCACCTGGTCTACTGACCTGAAGTGACATCAGTCCTTCAGCTGCTGATACCCTTCTGAGACCCCTCCGAAGCCTCTGGCGTCCAGGGTGTTGTCCAACTTGGAAACCTCACAGGAATAACTCTCAGACTCCATCCTCCTACCAAGGAGTCAGTTAGGGGCAGCTGTGTGTCTGCACGGGTCTGTGTGTACTTGTCCATCTGTGTGTGTGCACATTGTGGGCACATTGTGTGTAAACACTATGTGTGTGCACATTGTGTGTGTGTGCACAGTGTGTGTGTATGTGTGTGCATTGTGTGTATACACAGATGTGCCTCTGTGCTTGTGTTTGTGCACAGGCAGCCAGCCATGCTCACCACCTGCTAATGCTCCCGGGCTCTCTCTCGCTGGATCTCAGCCCATTTCCCTGAATCCCCTGGAGCCAGCACTGAGCTTCCCTGGCCTGATCTCCATCCCTCCCCTACTAGGCACTTAGGAGGTGTGTGTCCAGAGCCGTCTGTGTCATTGTATTGGAGTGTGAGTATAGGGGGACTCTGCATGTGCTCAGAGTGGAGGCTGTATGTGCATTTGTGCATGGCACGCTTAAGTGTGGACGTGCATCTCCAGTCCCTCTGCATGGCCATACATAGTAGGAAGTAGGGCCTGAGAGAGCATTGCATGGGTGAGGGGTCTGGACCTGGAGGTGGACATTCCTGGGCTCAGGTCCCCACCTGCATGACTGTTGAAAGGGAGCATTAGTACTCATCCCATCCAGTTGCTGGGGGATTAAAAATGATGATGTTAGCTGTGATATCCAGGGTCCAACCAGGAAACCAGAAACACCCTAATTATTTAAAACAGAGGGAATTGAATGCAGGGAGTTGATCACAAAGGAGATGGAGGAGCTGAAAACCCAAATGGGATGGTGTGATAACCCAGAAATTAGCAGTTTCCTTCCGGTAGGAAGCTCCCATCCCCCAGGCCTGGAGGGACAAAGGGAAGAGGTGGGGTCACCCAGTGGAATCTGGCTCCACAGGGGCTCTGCTCAGGGGAGCACAGAGCTGCTGCAAACAGTGGCTGCCTGTGGCCGAGAAGATGGAAGCAGCCTGACCTCTCCTCACGCCCTCCCGCCTCCATTCGTGCCTCCCATGGCTGAACCTGGGGGAGACGGAGGGCCAGGCAGCCTGGAGCTGCCACCTGCTATGGAGGAGGGGAACTGAGAGCCAAGACCACAAGCAGACCACAGAAAGCCTTTCAGTGGGTCCGTCTGGGGTGTGCTGAGTGGGGGGTGTGTACGCATGTGCTGTGCTTGGGCAGGTGTGAGTAGTGGGTGCAGATGGTGGGTGTGTACACACACCTGTATGTGTTCACAGCTTATATTGGCACATGATGGACAGCTTGCAGAGAGTGGGGTCAGTCCTCAACCCTGGTTGTCATTTACCGTGTGCCTGGCACTCTCCCATGCCCTTTATAAACACTGACTCGTGTAGTCTCACATAGCCCTGGGATAGCTACTGCCATCATCACCCTGCCCTCCCTTTACAGATGAGGGGACCATGGCACAGAGAATGTGAGTAACTTGCCCAAGATCACACAGTGCTCAGTGTGACACGGCATCCCCTCTTGGAGGCCAGGTCCTCGCTGTGTGCTGGGCCCCGCCCAGGGATGGCCAAAGTCTTGACTCCACCCTGCTCCAGGGACCCAGCTGAGAGGATCAGTCTTGTACCCTTTCCCTTCGTCTGGCTCCCCAGATGGGGAATGTGGCCCCCAGCAGAAGAAATGGCTAGAGTTCATTCCTTCTAACGTCATTACCGACTTGGAGAGGCCCAGTTATGCCAAGGCAGGTCTGAACGGGCCATCAACACCAAGGTGGCCATGCGCCCTGGGGCAGGACCTCGTGTGAGGTGCTGATTCCTACACACTGAGAGAGACCAACCCTGCCTGGGCCACAGGCTGCCACCTCGGCCCACGACCCTGCCACCCCTGCCGGTGCAGATGCTGCGCTGACATCCCGAGTGACTGCGGGTGGCTGGGGTGGGGCAAGAGCAGGGCGTGCAGGGAATGTCCAACGTGCCCTGGACCCAGGAGGAGGCTGAGTGTCACTGCGGATGTGGCAAGGGCGCTAGCCTGCAGAGCCAGAGGAGGCGGCTCACCAAGCCACTCGGGAGCACACGTTTAGTGAAACACACGAAGCCTTCTAAAGTGTGCAGCTCACGAAAAATGAAAACAAAGCAGGCACACACACACGTACACTCCATCCCTTTGTTGTTTACAGGAGACACCACCTTAATTATGAGGGCACAGGTCAGTTGAAAGGAAAACAGCTGCTGGTTGTGTTAATATCAGGCGAGGTGGGCTTCAAGACCAGGGGTGCTGTGGGCAACATGGGGGACGACTTGCAGGAAGAGTTAGAAACCCTCACGAGGTGTGCACCTGACTCGGAGCACACTCCATGAGCTGAGACTGCCGGGTGAGAACGAGAGACGGCCGGGTCCACGGTTGACGTCGGAGATCTGGGAACGTGCACCCCCTCTGCCCAGCGACCGCGGGTCAGTGGCTCTACCAGTCGGGCCTGAGGAGGTCAGAGCGTGTGCGGGCCCTGCATCCTGGGCTGTCGGGCCTGGCTTTTGCTTGATCACTGGAGAGCCTGCTCCACAGCGTGATGTGGAGATTCAGAGCGCAGCTTTGGAACCAGACAGACCCAGCACCGACTCTGAGCCCCCGGCAGCAGTTTTCCTGAGCCTCTAAGCCTCTGTTTCCTCATCTGTGAAAGGGAAACAGTCATAGGCGCCATCTCTGAGGGGGTTATGATGACAGGTGTCCCCACAGTTAGTGCTTAGTGTGACTGCAGGGGACCTGCCACCAGATCCCCTGCAGGGCCAGCTACTGGCAGACAGCCTCTCTGAGTCCTGCCCCTCTGAGAAGTGCCTTGGCTGAGGAGCCACCTCAGCAAAGTTGCTCCCCAGGGAGCCAGGGTTTGCATCCAATTACTGCTTGATGGGATGGGGTATAAGACCAGGCTCCTGTGCCCCAACCTGGAGCCACCTGGAAGGATCCCGACTGGAGAGCTGGTCATGGCCTCATGAGACTGCTTGGCAGCTCAGTTTGGCCCTCTGCCTCCTGCTCCCTCCCCTCACCAGTTGACCCCAAGGGCACTCCCTAATAGAGTGCTGCAGCCTCATCTCTGACTCAGAGCTGGCTTGGGAACCCAATGAGCTGACATTGCTTCATTGTTAGATCCTAGGTACTGGGAAACGATGGCAGTCCCTGGTCCACGCCCCTGGGCTCATTGTCCACAGGAAAGCTGACGGTGGAAGGCAGTTGGGATGAGTGCCCCAGGGAGCTCAGGGCGCAGCGGGCCAGGCCTTGGGGTCAGGGAGAGCCCTTCTGAGGAGCCGAGGCTGAGCCAGAGTGGGCCGGGGAAGCAGCTGCTTGTCTATCATCGTGTTAATAACAATGGCAGCCCACCAGAGACTACCTCCACGTCAACTGGAGGAGACGCAGAAAACAAAATGAGACACATCCCTGAGATGGCTCCACAGCCATGGACAGGAGTGACGCGGAGCACTCAGAGAGAGGAAGGAGTCTGTGCCCGATGAGCCCGTTCTTTGGATGAAAAAATACCACCTACGCACAAGACAAATACACAAACAAAGAAAAAGGCCAGAAGGGTCATACAACAAAATGCTATAGCGCTTTTCTTGGGGGATAGGATTATGGGTGTGTTTTGTTT